ATGAAAAAGATCGATCAATTGTTTTACCGGAGATTCTTGCCATGACTGATCGGCGATGAAAATGACAAAAAAAGATTTTAAGGATAACAAGAAAGAGGGAAAAAAGACGATATTTAATCAGTTAATGATACTGATTGATTTCCTTCATTCTCATTGCTAATGTGACGATCTATTTTGTCTAGTCTTCTATCACGTCTCTACGTCACGTCTGTAGTTTACAGCAATTATCAAAACTGGTCCACCGCAACCCCTATACTTGATATATGTGGGAAAAGGACATGTGATTGATAACTCATTTATTCTAATGAGCCCTTGATAGACCTTGATAGAAAATTTTAGAGACCATTTTTTAATAACATTTGCAGATCCAGATCATGGTCCAAGAGGAGAGATCCTGATTCAGCTCCCATTTTACCCTCATGTTCTAACGGTTTGGCCAGTAAGACAGTAAAATTTGATATGACAATCAACGATTTTGGGAAACATGGCATGAGTTTTTTATTGCATATGCCCAAAKTGTAATCTCGAAGCTTTGTGAGCATAAATTTTCATCGTTAGTAGTAAGTTCTCATGATGCCTTGCGGGCATTTTCATGGTAAAGAATCTTTGTTTCTAAACTATTCACCAGTTTCATTAAACACCATTTTCGGATGACCGCCCCCACCTGAAGATTATCCTTTCATTTTATTTGAGATATTAATAAATGTAATTATGTAATCTTATCTATGATAATCGATATATTTGTGAAACTAACTTACTATTTATTACAATGTCTGAGAGCTTGATTAGCGCACGCACGCGGCTACGTCAGGGCCGGGAATTTGTTTACTTGCTTAAAAACTTACTTTCTAGCCTTTGGGAGAATGAAGAAAAAACTCAATTTAAAGAAACAAATCATGCACTGCCACAAAACCGATGGCTAGAATTCACCTTATGACGTCACATGAAGACTTTGCAACGCCTGTGTTAAGGAAAGAATAACGAGTAAGACAAAAGAGGCGTACAATCATTAATGCATGTCTCCTTCACAGGAAAACTCCGATTTGCCCTTCATTGGGTTCTGCATGACAAAGTAGTCATCTGGGGAGTGCGAATGGCAGGACAGGGGAAAATAGAAGGAGCTGTCGCGACTTAGTTTCGCCTTCGGCGGTCAGGTCCAGTCAAGTACCCTTTTTCAAAATTAAGGAGCTCAAAGCTCAGACATTAACAGTGAAATATTGCCGGCGTAGGAGGAAAATTATGTTCATCAATAAACTGTCGAGAGGAGAGGGAAAATTGCCATTGTTTTCACTCGCTTTGAACAGTCTGTGACGTCATATATGTGGTCGGACTCKGCAGGATCAGAAACAACGATTCAAAATTCATAAACAAGAAGCAAAAACAGAGAAAAAAGAAAACTTAACAATAATTTTCATTGGGATGATTCAATCAAGCTCCTWATAAGTATTAAGTCCACATTGCGTGTACAAAAAGGAACATATTTTAGAGGCAAAACAAAAAACAATAGAGATCAAACAATGACGTTTTAACTAAGAGTATTGATATGCACGTTGTCATGGTAGCGAAGTCCATCACTTCAAGACACCTTGCTCCATTACACAATCGATCATATTTGCCAGTTCGGAAGCTGCACCATATATGACCCGCTGAAATTTTTTATCATAACAACTATCCATGATTACTAGGAAATATCAGAGAACCCAGGACACATTGTAGCTGGCATTCTTCAGTTTTATTTGCCATTGATCTTTGGAAATCACATGAACGAAGATAATTGCTTTGTCGTGGACGTGATCTGAGTCAGTCAATACTTTGCTTCCAAACCTTATTAAAACTCAGATATAATGACTGACGACACAAAGGAAAACACAGAAACAGATGTTAAACAGACTATTCTACCAAATGAAGGTAAAAGTGTGTGTATAAGTTAAACGAAGGAAATTATCCTTTAGCAGCATGATGAGTGAGGGTTTTGACAAATGTAGCCTTGTCTGCTAGGAATGAGATGTTTTGAGTTACGAATCCGAGCTTTCGCCGTCTACGGCATCATCAGTGTGTATAAGGTTCTATTTTGAAAATAGATCAACAAAATCTTCAATTAAAAGTTTATATTTCCAAATTAATAAGTCCCATGCGTAAGTATATTTGATTAGCTAAACTTCAGTTTCCAAGTTAGTGTGAACAGTTCTAGGGAAGATTTTTTTGCTAAAGATAATTGTCAAATTGACTAAAATCCGACCGTGCGTGCCGCCTGCTTTGGTATAATTCACAGATTGACTTAGTTACCAAGTAGTAGTTTATGATTACCCCAAAAATGCATTTACTATTTATTTATTGCAAAAAATATATATAAAAATATATGTATAAAATTTTTAGGTTTCTTTTCTTCTAACTATAGGTGTTAAGCTATTAAAATAATATTATGTAAGATGTAAGATTTTTTCCAAAAGTGCCTCTTGTTACAAAGGATTTATTCCCGATCTATATAGACAATATACAAAAAGCCCTCTCTGTGGTATTATTTTTGAGCAGGTTTGCAAGCACATCCACCCTCCCCTCCCTCCCTGGTGTGCACCACCTAAATGGGGCACTCAAGACATTCTAGATTTGTTAACAATTGAATTTTTCTCTCATTTAAGGTTCTGTAAATGTGGAGCCAATGACAAAAGAAAYGAATGATGAATCAACTCCAATCACTACAGATGTCAAAGAGAATGAAGAAAATAACCAGACTTCTGAGAATAATGCAGTTGACGAAACAAATGTAGAAACTGCCAAGGAAACAGAGGACAAGAGTAAGACAAATACTGAAGGTGAAGCAACAGTTACCGACTCCTCTGATAATAAACCAAGTGAAGATAAACAAGGAAAAGGTAGTGAAACACCAACAGAAAAGCAGGTAGAACCGAATGAAACAGTTGATCAAGAAAATACAGAGAAACCTACAGAGCAGGAGAAAAGCACTGAAGATCAAAAACCTTCAGCTGAAAAGACAGACTCTGAAGCAGATAAGCCTGAGCCAGCCAAGGAAGGATCACAGCCAAATGTACAAGATGAAAGCTTGTCTTCCGAAGGAAAACCTGAAGAAAAAGATGTTGAGGCAGTGGAAACTAAACAAGTTGAAGAAGACAAACCAGCAGAGGCTGAATYAAGCAATAAAGAATCTGAACAAGSCGAGGCAGGACAGTCTGCAGAAGTCAATGCAGTAGATAGTAAACCTGAACAAGTTGAGGAAGAAGAGCAGGAGAAGACAGCAACAACAAATGAAAATGAGCCAGAGAAGGCTCAAGAGACTGCCAGTGAATTAGAACCTGAAAAAGAAACAGGTGAGGGMCAAGAAAAACCAGTTGAACAAGTTGAAGAAGAAGACAAGTCAACACAAAATAAACTAACTGAACCCGAAAAACCAGTTGGAGAAGAAGAAAAACCTGTTGAACAAGTTGAGGAACAAGGCAAACCAACAGRAAATGAATCAGAATCTGGGAAAGTTGTGGAAGCTGAAGAACAAGAAAAGCCTGCAGCTGAAGAAGTTGAAGAACAAGGCAAATCAACAGAAAATGAGTCTAAACCTGAAAATCCAGTTGGAGAAGAACAAGCAAAGCCAGTTGAACAAGCATCATCAGAAGGACAAGGCAAATCAACAGAAAATGAGTCTAAACCTGAAAATCCAGTTGGAGAAGAACAAGCAAAGCCAGTTGAACAAGCATCATCAGAAGGACAAGGCAAATCAACAGAAAATGAGTCTAAACCTGAAAATCCAGTTGGAGAAGAACAAG